GCAGGCAGGCAAGAGCTTTTCTTCCTTAGCTGCAGACTACCAGGAAGCAGCTACTAGTCAATGTTACCTATTTTCCTACAACAGAACGTGTGCAAATTTCTGCTAAGACTTTAGGGAATATCTGGTAAACTTCATAGGGCATATGCTGGCTTAAAAGCCCACTGGCTCTGTTTGTTAAATGTTTGAAACAGTTTCTGTTCCCACATCTGTGCCCATTCTGTTCCCATGACAATGAGGTTTGAAAATTTACTTATTTTCCTGTTTTTAAGGAGTGTTTTCCTATCACTTGTTGCTTTATGAAAGTTTCACAGAGACAGCAGGAAAAAACAACTATAAACGAGAAGCAGTACAATTGGCTGCACACAAAGTGTTATTGAAAATATAATGTAAGACTGCAGGAAAATACTTTTTCTTCTAGCTTTTTCAGTTTTACTACTTCGTGGTGGCATTTGTAACAGCAGCCAGTAAATCAACTTTCAGTAGAAATGTTTCAAATTTTATAATGTTGATGAATCCTTTTAAAAATGTGCATTGCTAGTTAGTGTTCCTTCCATGTTTGTGTCAGAATGCGCTGAGAGAAAACAGGAGGAGTTGCTCAAACTGCTTTTAGAAAAACTAGGACTCTGTAATATGACCCATGCTCCTCTGAGCTAATCAGCGTTAGATGATGAACACTGTTGAAACTGCCTGAGATTTATCAGCATGAAACTGTGCTCACTGTGATATAAAGCCAGAGATAAAATATTACAGCCAGTAACAATTCACCCAACAGAAAAACAACTGTCTGAAGCATTCAGATTGCCTATGCTCTGATTAGACAATGCATAGCTACAAAAAGGAACACTGGTAAGGAAAATGTGAAAACCCTTTGCTGATGCAAACCTACACAAGTTCAGCATGACTAAAATTAGAAAGAAAAAGGAGGAAATCCGGACTTCATTAAAATCAGTGGATGTTTCTGAGCAGAATTTCCATTAATTAATTTCAGTGGGGCCAGGATTTCATCCCAAAGTAAGTATTCACATTCCCTTCCTTCTCTAATTTTCTTCCTTATAAAATGGCCTTTTAGAATTTCTATATTAAAGAAGTGTTTGAATGAGTCTGCCCCCCCCCCCCCCAGCTTCTTGCCAGCTGCTATCAAAGGTTTGCCTTGTTCTGATGACTTACTGTTTGGAAGGGAAAAAGTAAAGTTATTCATCCATTAATCATATTTTCCAATGCTAGGTAAGAACAGAGTATTATTGTTGGAAAGACTGCCTTTAGAATAGGTTCACTTTGGGAACAGGCTTTTGGACATTTTATCCTATTTCACTTTCAAATTCAAATCCAGTGAAAAATCACTACATTAGTATGTACCTTCCTGCATTTTTTCAAGCTAAAGATCTTTGGCCAGCTTCTTTCAAAAAAAGCCTGATGTTTTGCTGTACATAACTGGAATGCTACTTTTGCTTCTCATTTTTTAGAGAGAATACTGTCAATACACCAGTGATGATACTTTAATTCTAAGTACATAACCAGAAAGATTTTGTGGTATCTATTGTTTTTGCCTGAGGCTTGGATGACAGAGAAAGAATTTGAGGACATGAGTAAATTTCTGGCACTGCAGAAACGAGGCTACTCTATTAAAAATATTAGTTTTGTATGTAACTTCTTTATTATGCAATTTACTGTGGTGGCGTCAGTTTAGCTTATTGGCAGGGTCTTGGATAAACAAGACAACATGGGTCAATGGGCTTGGGCAAGGCGTCTCCCAGTCCACACTGGAGGACTGCTTAGAGGCAACACTGCGCTCTTCAGTGGGAAGCACCTACGTTTGAACTCCAGGCAACTTACAAAACTCATTTTATCAGTTCTGGGGACCAGAAGGTTGGAGCTCTGAAAGGATCTGAAAAGAACAGATCCTGGGCCAGCGGTGGGACAGTAACTGCTGGAGAACAGATGGATGTGCAGAGGCTCTGACTGTGATATCTGAAGAAGTTAAGCCTCCCCAGGCATCAGTGAGGGGATAGTAAGCCTTTAGATAAGATAGATGTGTGCAGCCAGTTTGGTACTCTGCATTCCTTTTTTCTTCTACTTACGTTATATGCTGTTCTTCACACAAAATATGGAACAAACTAGTTTCTAACCTTGCTCTTTTGATATTGTCTGCACTGACGGTCACAGGCCCCCACCAGAGAAAGCCAGGATAGCTCAGCTGGATGAGACACATTAATTGAGGCCGTGTAAAAGAACAAGTTCAGATGCAGGTAGGGGTGCACTAGGGGCTACATCAATACTCATAAATCAGACAGGACCACAGGATGCTCCAGGCTCCGCAACTCATTTGGCCACGCTGGTCAGTTGTCCCTGGCGCAGTTTTGGCGTGCGCCAGCTAGCCCTCTCCCAGCCAGATCCTCGGCATGGTTTGGGAGGTGGGTAGCCCATCCCCAGGATACCTTTCAGATGTGGCCACTTTGTTCAGACACCAGGAGTGCATAATGGCATGGACACAGACTGCTCAGACCAGGTGACCCCAGGACCACTTTTCCCAGCAGAAGTATTTCTGGGCATATTTCATTCACTATTACAACCGCCTTTGGGTTGGATCCAACATTTCCACATGTACAGGCCAATCAACAGTAGATGGAAACATCCATATTTCAGCAATGTCCATAGATGTCTGACAGTTTGTATCAAGTAAGGATCTTTCCTTTTGCCTCTGAAATCCGCACGTAGGCATTAGGCCCAGTCTCAAATGCTTTGAAGTGAGATGAGCCATTTGTACAGGCCTTGGATGTGGATCAGGCCTGAGGAGTCCTGCTCTCCAGAGAGCCAACATCCCTATCAGAGTCTGTGAAGCACTGGTTGCTCAGCAATTTGGAAATAAGCCTTCTTTTATTTCTTTACTTAAATAAGGGAATAGTAAATAAAACTCTGTGCAAAGTATGATACCTTCTGATCTCTGGCTAAAAATAAATTAATATTTCTTACCTTTCATACTTTGTGATCCTTGCTTGAAAAAGTCTCTTGTTACAAGAATGTTTATAATAAAAACGCATGTATAAATGCATCTAAATGCACATACACACATGCACAAACAATCTTATTTTTCCAAAGAGGTCTTCTTTTATTCGCTTCATTTGAAAATTAATACTCTCATGAGATGAGGTTAAAAGTAAATTAGTGTAACAACGGTCTGATAATTGGCATTTGGCAGTTGTTGCTAATGCTGTTTTCCAGACAAGTTCTGAAGAATTCCTGCTTTGACACCCAGTTACGTTTCAATGCTTTTCTTTCTTTTTCCCTTTCACACAGCTGCTGTAATCCATAACAAATAATTGTTTAAACACAAAATCAGCAAGCATCGTGTGTAATTTGCCTTTCTCTCTTTCAAGACCATTACGAAACGGTGTCAAAGACAGAAAAAAAAAAGTATAAATGTTCCTTCTGTCCCCCTTTTTTTCACTGTCTGTTCAATTTCCAAATATTCATCCTAAAGAAGAAAATGCTGATAGAGAAAAAAAAACTAATCAAAAGCTTTCTGCCTGAAGTCATTCAGTTTCCTATTCAAACCAGGAAAGTGTCTCTAGTTAGACATGGTTGTATTCCCTGAGAACATGAAAACATGACAGCATATTATTAGCGCAGAAACTAAAGAGCAGCTGTTATTTAGCACCTGGTTCCCAACAGCAGACTAGAAATGCAAAGTGAGACACTATGTATGTGCCCTGACAGACAGCGAAAAATGAACAAACAACCGAAAAGCCACTCTTCCTGCAAGAAAGAAGCACTCCGTTCATGATCTCTACATAGAAAGTGTTGACAAATTTCCAGCCCTCCTCCTGAAAGGGAGGATGAAAAGGAGTAAAGGGGCCAAAAGACAGCTAAAATCGAAAGAAGTTGTTTTCTTACCTTGCTGCAACTTGGTGGTGCCTCTGCTTGCTAGTGTGAGAATGAGAGAAGGCAGAGACAAATGCAGCGACTTACTGCTTTATTGGATTACCCAAACTATGCATTTAGTAATTACACAGTCAGGCATTCGTTCTTTAGACAAGCTATAAATATAATATCTCCAAAGTACCAGCCATCCACAGGAGATAAGAACAGCATCACCTCTGTGCTCCTGGCCTTTTAAGGCATCATAGTTAACGGTAGCACAAGACCTGTAATGGAAAGGGCTGCCACTCTCCTGAGCAACCCTGGCCCTTTACTCTGCTTGATTCGGGAATGTCTGACCTTAAAATACGCTCACCTAAGCGTAGCGAGGTTCTAGGAGGGACTGTCAAAGAACAAGAGTAATTTAATGGCCTGATATTTTAGCTGGGCTGTAAGAGTCTAGCTTCTAAATCAGATGATTTGTCAAAGCTTTGGGATTAACAAAAACACTCTAGGAAATGCTAACCGCTCTGAGGATGTAACAAACTTTAACTTGCCCTTCATTCATCAATCTCAGGTATGCATCTTGTTGAAAGGGAGTCTGAGTCCCTCATATTCTGCCACGTTTTACCCTTGCAACCCCTTGTATGGGGGAAGGCATTGCTAGTTCTACCATTTTACAGCACAAAGAAGCTCTAGCAACTAGCCTGAGGTGAAGAAATAAATATGTGCCAGGCTGGCAGTGGGCACTCATAACTCAGGAGACTGCTTTCCTCTCTGGGCTTCCTTCCTGCTGTAATGGAGTTGTTACGTTAGGTTAAGGGGACATTCGCACATTTAAGGAATGAGAGATTAGAGGTGAAAAAAGTTCAGCAACTCACATTGGCAAAGCCCCTCTGGCCTCAGAAGAAAACCTGCCCAAGCAAGGCTCCATGCAGAATTAGGGTTACAGCCTATCTCCTTGCTAGGTCCATCTCTCACTTTATTGCACTACTCTGGAGTATGTTGCAGCAGAGACATGATCCTTGGCCCAAAGTTGAACTATTTTAACCTTTTTTTTCACCCAGAATGAAACACAATTGCCTCACTGCATGCCACTTCTCCTGTCAGGACGGCCTTGTGGGTCCTTTTGGTTCCTCCCTGCAATTTGACCTGGGACTTCTACGCTTTTGTTGTGGCCACCTGACTGAGAATTGCCCTTTAGGGGTTTTGCTCTGTCTGGGGAGCAGGGAGAGCAGGACATGAGATAAAGAGTTTGACCTGATAAGTAGAGAGTCTACACTTGTGAAGGTAGGCAGTGAGATGTCAAGAGGAGGAAAAGAAAAGCCTCTCTCTTACAGAGGCAGGTAAAGAAACAAGATCAGGAAGCCTGCACAAATAGGCAAACGACCCTCTCCTTAACGCAGCAACATACTTCTCAGATGAGGCACTATTCTGTTAAGCTGAGATTATCTGTCCTTCCTCCTCCTGGCTGAAGCTACTGTCCTCTATTTGCTGAGGGCTTTGATACCACTGCTGGATTTATTTATTATTTCCACATCTCTGGAGAACCAGCCCCCGCTATCTTCATCCCAAGCACTGACACAAGCTGGGAAAAAATCGTAGCCTGGAAGTAGCATTCTATCAGCTGTTGGGATGGTGGCCCCAAAATGGACTCTCTATCACGGTGCCCAGAAATGAGATGGCCATGGCTGGACATCAGAAGCTGTGGCTGGGCACTCCTGAGCCTGTCCAGGCTGTGAGCAGGAGGCTGAGCCCAGGGACCTGACGTGACATTTGGCTGCAATGGCCCCATGGGTGACAGCAGTGACTGCTCCAGGAGACCAGAGGAAGCATCCTGTGAGACACTTACGTTTTGTGGGAAAGCATGAGGAGGCAGCACTCATGTCCGCATCTGTTTCTCCCCTTTCTTGCTACCTCAAGCTACTCCTCATGACCCATGGTGGGTCAAACGAGGGAATGCTATGGGGAGAATCCAGTTCAATGGTCGTTTTCAGAAAGATACACATTTTCAGAGCCACTTTCTCTCTTTCTTTATCCCAGCTTCCAAAGGAGTTCTTTCTGAAAGGGATAGTCTGTGTTTTTTTGCATACACAAAGCCCTCTATACAAATGCTGGTTTTCTTTCTCTGAACAATTTTCATTCTGGAGAGAATT